GACAAGTAGTGTGATTGTTAACATGAAGAGTTATCACAGTCTGCTTGTTCACTTGGCTACATTCGTGAGAGTGTTGTTGTTCACTCACGGCTCGAGGCAAGACTTCAAGGTGGTGACAAATGCGTGGGGTGTTGTGCATGGCGATGCTGGTGATCTGATACCAGGTGGTCATGAAAGCGTTGTGGGTGGTTTGCGTTAGCGTTTGGATGCAATGTGATGGGCAAATGGGAGGCTGTCTTTGTGATGCCCTTCATAGACCAGTGAGTCGCGATTGCCGTGAGTCAGCACCATCTCGATACACCACATCAACGGTGTCATCGATTGTACACGGAATGCAACTTCAAATGCAAAGATCGATACGTCCAACGCGGAACATTCACTTGCGAATTTGGACCACTGCTGCTGCTAACATACCTGCATATATCATTCAACTGTACGAAGGATGCTGAGCATCGTAGCGCTGATGAATTTAGTCAACGTAGGTCTTGCTTGAATCCTTCCCCCCTACTGGACAATGCTTGTGCTGGGCATTGCCTCTGTTTGCGTGTTGGTCTTGTGCCTGAATCACGAGTCCGCACAAAGGCAGTGTGACACAGGGATGTCTGGGATCGCGGCAACGCGAGGTAAGCAGATGTGGGCAGAATTTATATTGGCCTATGCATCTTCTTCCTCTTATTATTACCAGGTGTCTTGCACCTCCTATGGTGACTGATGCATAAGCGCACATTTTGAATGAATGCGTTTCAGACACGAGTGAGTTTGTAATTGTGGTTGCGGAATATGACGAGAATGAGGAGGCGGAAGAGGTGGAAGCGAAGGAGGAAGAGCTAGTTGTGGGTGAGGAGGCTGCAAGTGATTTGAAGTCACTCTCTTGCATCAAGACCCAACTGCAAATCACTCTCTTCGTTATTCGCCTTCTGGCAAGTGCCAATCGAGATGACCCACAGATCTACGAATCCTGTGAGTGAAGCAAACGCCTCGTCCCATCTTATTGCTCGATTCCATGCGACCAGAGTGTTTCTTGAATTATTTGTCTTTTAGATCTCTACAAATGGGATGTTCGTATGTCGCAAGTGCCTGCTGATGAGAGCGACTGTGATGTAATCATGGTGAGGGCCACCGTCCACTTGTCATTTGACGGAGGCGCGTCTGAAGATGACGACATTGACGCGAAACTAAGAGTGGTGCTCTGTAATGGGAGCCTACTCACGAATGCAGACGGAAACAATAGTTTGAAGAATGGAATGGGAGTGTTGTCGTGTGAGTGTGCATTTTTATCAAGTGCGGCATTACTGTTCAGTGCGAGGCTTCTAAGCAGTTAGAAGTTAGTTAGGTGACTATCATTTGGATGATGGTTATCTGCCATCAGGTGGTTGTGAGCGGATTGTGGGTGGCTTGGTAGTGCATGCGATGCCATGGACCAATGCGGTCTGTCTCTGTGATCCCCGACGCAGATCAGTAGGTCGAGGAAGTCAAGATTAGAAGTACATTACCTTGTGTAATGTAGTAATATCTCGGTGCTCGACGTAAGTAATTTGTAGTTGGAAGGCCACACTTGAATGCACTGAATGTCAATTGCGTTTCTGCCTGGTAGTTGTTAACTCTTACGTACTTTTTCATGCTTTAATGAGTTGAATTGGCGTCAAAACATGCTGACTATCGTCGCATTTTGCAGATGAAGGCGTCGGCCCTCACAAACACCGCCGCACATTCGTGAGTTTTGTGCATGTTTGCATTGCATTGCAGTACTTGCCACACAACACGCATTTGACTGGATTATGATTTTATTTTCCTTTGACATGCAGTGGCGCAAGCGATTGAAGAAACGAATGGCGCAGGTGTTGTGCGGATGCATGCGAGGTCAGCCAGCCTGACTACATTGCGACCAGGCTTGTTTGTTGCTTTTTACTGATGTGTTTATTGTAAATACACTTGTTCTTGTTATCTGTCTTGAGTCATGTCTGTTCCGTTGTACAACATGCGCATTTCGCTGTGCCCGCATTAGGTCCTGTCATGTATAGCTACGCAATGCAGATTACGTGCATCGCCAGCATGCACGGTTTAGTTGCTGCGCTCCAGACAATGTAGAGGCCAATATGTCAGACATAGACGCAATCACGCCTGTGTTGCTTCTCGCTAATGTGTATTTGTTAAAGGCTTGCCTGTAACAATTGGGGTTGTAAATGTGGAGTTGCTTAGGATGGACATTGTTTCTGTTCGTGGAAAAAGCAGGATTTGGCACTTGAACTTTGGAGTGCCTATTGAGCATTGAAGAAAGAACGTGCATTTTGGTTGAAAGTTTGGTCGTGTGAGGTGTAAATGTAATGTATTTTCAAGTAAGAATGACTATATCTGGAGATTCACTTTATTGTGGCTGTTTGAAGTGTTGAGGAGAACGGCACCCACGGACACGTTCTTTCATGTGTGAGTATGCAGATTGTAGTTGATAATATCGGCCCAAAGTGACCACTGGACATGGTAGATAGCTGAGTGCTTTAGCTTGGTAGAGTTGACGCAATGCCATATCGTTAATATGCGTTGCATAGACAGAAACACTGGGCTGTATTTTACTACTGCAATTAACATTGGATTAAAAGGGTGTTACGATTGACATTATGCTACGTTGTTGAGCCATGAACCTACTGAATCTCTTCGTCACATGTACAATGGTCTCTAAGCCACTGCTACCTGCAATGCTTTATAACCACATTCACCACAAGCACGATTTTCATCAGTGTGGATGGAGTCTCTTTGTTATACAAGATGTTTGGGTGCATGGAATGTGAATGATTTTTGAAGGCCCAGATTCACAGCCTTTCAATATTTCAAGTCGGATGCTTAGATGTGTGCACAAATGTTGCTGTGAAATAATCCTGATTTCGTCTTTTTCGTATCCTAGTCTCTACGGCTGCCTTCTCACAACCTCATTTGCCTTCCAACAAGTAGGCGACTTTAGTGGTAAACACGTATTCTTCTCTCGTATAAAGAGTGGGAATTGTGTGTTGTTAGTTTAGCGTCACACTCAGAAAAACTAGGCTCCTTGGCACACGCTTGAGGTCTTCGTCCTAGATCTTGACTTGGCGTTCCCATTTGTCATTCGAAGAAAAATGTAAATTTACCTCATAAATCACCTCATTTTTGCAGGATGCATATTTGCCCGTGTGGGATTTGTTAAGTGATTTCTTTGGCAGGCTGTTTCTTTGCACTGCAGCCTTTGTATTATGCAATTTCACTCACTCCTACTGTCGTCCTTACGACAATTGCCTATCTCATTCGCAGACATCTACCCTTTGGCTCAAAGAAGCGAATCTTAACTAAAGTTGTGCAATGACCAGTTACAACAAATTCATGTATTTGGACTCCTTACAAGGACCCATTTGTCAAGTAAAACGCATCTTAATTCAGATTGCAGGAACATTGTTTCGCACACAAGCGACGGTCGTGTTAGCAAAGTGGCTTTTGAATCTCGGAACGAAATCCACTTTTATTTCATATTCACCTTTTTGGGGCCCTGCGGATACTGTGTTAATAACATTCGCTATTCATTACTTCGACACAAGTATTTGTGTTTGTGGCTGTAGCAAATTTTGTCGGATAAGTTAAGCGAATGTTGACGGACTTAGTTGATAAAGCACATCATGTGTTGACTTGTAAAAGAGGAGCAAACTAAGTGATTTTGTGTTTTGGTGAGGTGCACACAAGGCTCAAAGTACTTGCTTCTGTCTCTATTTTTAAACGTTTATCAATGTCTTCTTTAAACGCGGAGAAGGTGTCTGTCATTTCTTATCGTAGTCGTATTTGCTGATCTAGCACACTTGGTTGCTGTGCGTCACCTGATCAGCATGCAAGTCATGAAACTGATTCTATATGTGCTTATGACGAACTTTGTTATTTTTCAAATATTATGTTTGTGTTGATTGCTAATACATAGCCGATAGTTTGCAGGGCATTAGGTTATTTGCATATTTCATGTAACATTTGTAGAAATTATGGAAGACAATATTTAAAATTCCATATCACCAACGTCAACTAACGCTTACAAATTATGTAATTTTTATGTTTATCAAACTGTTAACTTAATATTACGCATTTTAATGCATATGTGAAAAAGGAATTTCAGCTAAAATTGCATGCTGATTTCCAAAAACTGCTTAAAACAATGCACGATTTGGAGAAGATTTTGATTAGGTAGAAATACTGCTGCGAATGGCACTAAAATGTCTACATAAATAAATTAGCATCGCAGAGAAAACTTTGGCATGCTAATACTAGCGTTGAATTCACTTAATTTTGCGTGTGCTCGGAGTAGACACTACATTTTGAAGAATCGGTTTGACAATCCCAAATGCACAAAGTTGAACTTAATTTAAGATATGCAGTTGTAAGGCCTTTCAAATTCACTGTTATTCTTTGAAATGACACAAATTGATTTATTGGTGTCCGCAATCAATAATCCATCGTAAGTGAACTTTGTAATTGTTCCACTGCCTCAAATGGATAAGCATTTTTAGGTGCATTTAAACACATTCATAAAATTTTGCTTTAGCCTAACACATGATAAAATAAGAGCATCGAATGTGGAGTGACTCGTAAATTACTTTCATTTATCACCTTTTATGCTCTATTTGAAGATCAATTTTGAATTGATCATGCCGATGACAGAATTTGGTTTACTAAGTCAATTATTTAATCTAGAATGTATCTAAATATATTTGCTTAGCCTCAATCTTTTTTTAAAAAAAATACACAATCCAAAAATGTAGGTAGATGGTAAATTGGTTTGTGTTTTGTTACTTCAGTGAGCGTCCCGATACGCCGCCAATGTTTTATACTCAAGGTTACACCTGTAATTGTCCTTTTGAGTTGGTGTTCGGTGCATTGCCAATTGTCGCTGACCTTTTAGCCTTGAGCTAACTTGTAGGCCCTTTCATAAAGGAGAATAAATCTTAAGGATGGACTTTAACGCATCGGAACCAATTGTCACACATAATTATACAGACCTAATGAACAGAACGATACAGAACTCTACCAATATAATGTCTAACAAATTGTTGTTTCTTGAAACAAAGTCGGCGCAGGCGTTTGCTGGTTTAATGTCATTTGCAGCTGTTCTAATCAGTGGACATCATGTATTCTTGTCGTTTCGGATATAAGTCGAATTTTAGATATACTTGCATCTCACTAATTATACTGCACCGAATGAGCAGAAGTGGATTGTGCGCATTCTCTTTGTGGTACCGCTTTATGCATTTCAATCGTGGCTAAGCCTTATGTTTCTCCGTCATCAGGATTTCTACGTATATTTTGACACAGTTCGAGATTGTTACGAAGGTGAATATTTTGTACGCCTCATCCTTTTCTCTAAATCTGTTTCTAATTGTATGCAGTTTTTTTTATTTTGTGCAAAAAGTAAGTATGTATAGTCTCACCTTTGATATGCGCAAGGATTATTTGAGCTAACTTTGGTGCTCTGGCAAACAGGAATTCACAATGAGGCAGTTATTTATATTCGAATATCAAATTACCCAGATTTTTTGCCTGAACATGCTATTTGTAATGTTTTAGTCTGCAAGGATAAGTAGTTTGTGTGGAATCTGGAAGGTGGCAAATGGCGTGGACTAAACTGTGATGTAATTTGAAGTACAATGATTTGAATGCTTTACATGACATCATTGATTTTGGTTGTTATTACCTCTAAATCACTTCGTAAAGTAACAATTTACCTTAATCATAAGATAAACTTTCCATGAGATAATCCGATACCTGTGGTTGGAAGGTTATCGCGAAGGCTGGAGGTGGAATACTAAAACGGACTTATTTCCAAAATGATTAAAGGAAGCACGTGCATGCACGTGGCTGGAATGTGAAACATTTTATTGTAAACAAGTTTTATTTCTGAACATTTGGTCTCCTGGTGCGCACCCTTAAGAGAACCCAGTGTGCTGAACAAACAGTTGATAGTTTTTTTCAGGATTTATCCATATTCAATCATGCGATTGCAGGACTAAAGCTTGACTTCTAACATCATGATCATATTTTGGTTCTGTTACAATACTGAGCCATATGAGGTTGTGAAAAAATTGATAGATTTTAACGAAGGTGTTTGTAGCTTGCGTTTATACATGGATTAGGATTTTGTCATCTTTTATTAGCAGCAGCCTTTTGGATAGTTTGCTTGATGGACATCCGAGGCTTAGTCAAGTTGAGCCTATAGATGCAGGTCTGTAAAGCAATCACTGGCCAGTTTGTTTATTTATTACGATTTGTGGAAGAATGGGCTGACATTGCCAGTTGCAGGATTGAGAAGATAGCCGTCAAGTTAATGTGCGAATGAGCAAGACGTTGCCAAGAGAAGGTGTACGTAGGAAACACGAGCAATTCTTGCCAACGTGGTCATCCTACTTTGTTTCGCTGTTCCTTCTGCGAAGCAGGTCACTTGACGGACAGACGCACAACATTTCTTCCTTATGACGTGGAGAGGAGATTGTCACTGGTGTAGGAGCTGAAGCTGCCTTGCAACGGTTTAAGGCCAATCATGTCACTCCGGACTGCTGATGGCAGCGCAGTTGTATCATTGGTTGATGAAGAGAACCTCGTCATACCCTACTGCAGCTCTCCGATGGTAATCACAATTCTGAACCAAAAACCAAAGATGATCTCATTGGTCAATACATCTGCTGTTTGCGCGTGACTGTACAAGAAAATGATCCCAATACGTCTCACTATCCGGATTCGACTGTGGAAGTCTTTGAACCGAATAATGCTGGTTCAGATTCTGTGCTTGTCGGAGATATTGATTTTGGGTCTAGTTATGTGAGGACTCAGCTAACGGAGCAGCTTCCAGGAAAATCTGAAGAGCCTCATGTGGTTTCTGATGCCCCCACGATTCAATAAAAGAAACTGCTTAAAGGGCCTTGTATGAGGATGTTACCGTTTTCCTGTGAATAGAATTTAAAGGACATGCTAAGACACCACAACGTCGTACATCGTTGGCAAAAACGACTCCGTGTAACCAAACGCAAGCCATATTCGATCGCAAACATGTCAATACACGCCTCTAACAACTCGGCGAAACTTTTCGAAGTTCACTTAGGCAAAATGATCACGCTGATAAAACGTCAAGAGGGAACTCAGAATATTGCTCTTAAATTTTGGCAAAATATGTGCTTCTCCTGGTCTTGCCAGATAAATATATCGATGTTTATTTATTGCGTGGTATTAGATCGACGAATCTAAACCCAAAAGCGAATGAGAGAAGAAGAAAGTGCTAAGATTATCAATAATTGCCTAGCCCGTTCCCTTTATATGCTGATCTATCCTCTCTTTTAACCGTTTACCTTCAGTGGTCTGAGAGTTTACCATATCTTACTATTCTGACTTTCCTTAGAACACTGTTTAGTTCGCTCCTCGGCAGATAACACGCGAATTTCTTCAAGTCCCGGGTCTTCTTTAATGTTCTTTTTGTCCGGCCTGCTTGTCTGCGTTGTAGCTATTACTTACAGTGTTATTAAATGCTGGTTTCCGAAATATTATCTTTTTAGCCCGCTTTTAGGACAGTACAATAAAGCGAACATCACGTGAGTCTAACGGGTGCTCTTGTTTGTGGATGTACAGCAGCTTCTGCATCCTGCGCACACATGACATATGCCTTCCAAATATAAATTTTAGTGGTGTAATTCGGTGGGATGAATTTGGCATTGTAAATTAAACCTGAACTAATGAATGGACGATAATGCTGCAGTGAAAAGCACCTCTGCCTCTTTTAGACTGATTTGACTGGCGTTACTGAACTGAGAACAGGTTGAGGTTTGTTTCACGTGAACAAACGTGGAAGTGGCAACATAGCCACCAACACTAACATCACAGGTTCAGTGATTTAAAATGCCTTGTAGAACAATTTACGGGAAATTAGACTTCGCACTATTTGCTTTTAATGGCTGTGTTAGTGTAGACTGCATTTTATTGGGGAAAAGCAGGCTTTAATTAAATTTTCGCACAAGGTATAGTGGTAGAAAGTGTTGCCAGTGGCCTGGCATGCCCCGACGACCAATGCTCAAATTCTGATTGGCGTAAATTGCTGATCGATGGACCAATGAAAATTAAGCTAGAGGACATGTGATCTGTATGTCCAGGCTCTTGATAACCGTGTTGCCACAGTAATGGTAAATTGAATTGGTTTTAAATTTCTCTCGTTTTTAGCATTCGTCGTTTACAGTTTCCTCAGTCTCTGTTATGAATACCTTGGTGGCGAGAGTTGCATCATGGCGGAAATACGCGGCAAGGCCGTCCCGTAAGTTGCCTTAATCTATGGCTACCAAATTCGCCTGTAACCACCTTTCATCTTCAATCCTTTTAGCTATTCGTGGATCTTTTGCACCTGCTGCTTCTCCGGTCAGGTTTTTACCATTGGATTCCTGCGCTTTTGCAAGCAGGTAGGTTTTTGAGGCCATGTTTTTCCTACTTGTTTGCAGTCAAATGTACTAGTGCTTGCAGTCATAGCAACCGCCTTTAATCCCATTGGTTCGTTTGTTTTTGGATGTGTTATCCAGTTTAACTCACAATATATTAAATTTAATACTACTCCTATTTTTTAGGCAACATTACAATTTTGCCTTGTGAAACCTCTAATGGCGATAGCGATCATAATAATGCAATCAGCAGGGATATACAAGCATGGGATATGGAGGTAAGTTGGCTGACTGAACTGCCTCAGAAGTGCCATTCAAAAGGGTCACTTTGTGTCTACTCAGTTCACAGTGGTGGGTAATTCGACAGCTATTTAATTTGCATGACACGATTAATAAAATGTCGTGCTAGTAGTCGGCAGACTAGGCAGATTACTTAGCTACTTAGCTTTTCCTTGCAGTGCATCTAATGGATATTTCTACACCACCATCATCTACAATATATCGGCCTTCTTGGCACTCTACGCTCTGGTGCTGTTCTACCTCGCCACCAGCAACATTCTACGTCCCTTCGATCCAGTTCTCAAGTTTGCGGTTGTCAAGTCCGTTGTGTTCCTGTGTTTCTGGCAGGGTACGTACCATGAAATCACGCCAGTAACGGTAACGCATGACCTTCACACACCAGGGCTCCCTACTGAAGTCCGATTTAGCGCGTGGTATGACACAATGAGTTGCGTTTTCAGCTAGGACACATGTTAGAGGGGAACAGACGCTGTAGCTGTTGTTGTTGTTTGGGACGACAAAATTGCCGCATTCAGTCAGACGAAACACACGCATCTCTCTGTCAATCACCAGCTCAGCCGTGGCGAAGGTTGCAATTTACGCAGAAAACAGAAATACAAGCGAGCCTCTCGAAGCCGGCTTAATCCAATCACCGACAACTTTCTCACCCTCACGACCAATCAGTGAGAGAACTTAGGTTTGACCGTTAAGTGGGCTAAGCGTTAGTTTCTGGTTGCCCTGCCAACACGCTGTCAACTGACTCAGACGTCTTCTCTCCCGTGAACGCGTAGGCGTGATCTTCGCCGTCCTGGAGAAGACTGGAGTTCTCCCGGCGCTGCCCAACTCAAACGCTGGCACCGTCTCTGCGGGCATCCAAGATTTCATCATCTGCATCGAAATGGTGTTTGCGGCAGTTGCACTTCGCTACGCGTTTCCCTACCGCCTGTACGCGGTTGGCATCGCCACGACCGACCACAGTGAGGACGCGGATAACATCACGGATGAGAAAAGGGGCCTGTTCGATGGACGGATATGGAAGAGCGATGGCGACACGATAAGCGTGGGTACGTGAGGCCACATCTCAAATGAAGGCAAATGTATTATTTTTTAATCCAAATTTCCTTTCTTCAAGGTCGACCAAGTAGTTTTCATAACTTGCGAGACACGTTCAACCCGCATGACGTGCTTCGTGATGCCTTCCACAACTTCCACCCAACCTATCAGAAGTATACCGAACAGGTAAAATTGAAGTTACTGTTGGCATTTCAGTAATTGGAATGTACACCATTTTGCATTGAAGCGGGTGTGATGCAATACATGAAGTATGTGAAAACCTAAGCTTGACAGCCTTTCATTTGGCGATTGGTCTTGTAGCGAACTCATCCCGAATTTGTTGTCAACGAGGAGAGTTCTCGAGTGAACCCACCAAATGCTACACCAGCTCCTCCAATCCCTCCCGTTCCGCCCGGGGAAATGAGTTTACCAGGCGGGAACAGCAGCGTTTCACCCAATCAGCGGGCGCCATCAGCATCAATGTCCTCCCTCAGCCGTCTCGTCACCTAGTTAACTATGGCTGTTGACCTCGTTGTAACCCACTTCACGTCTTTGTGGTTTGTCTTTAGCTCCTGATGATCGTATTTTGTACAACCAAACTGTCGCTTCTAACCAGCGTTGCATTTAACTTCTAAATATCTAGAATAACTTGCTCGCTCGATCGTGATATCACCATGTTGTAACTCAACGGATTTCTGTGCTGTGGAATTAATAGAAAATTTATTTTCTGCTCGGTAGTTCTCTTTAAAAGACGTGATAGGAATGCCCTCAAAGCATTTCCGTTTTAATTCAGATTTTTTTTATAATGGTTACCTTGGTTAAGATGTACATGAACGATTCAAACTCGATCATATCGTAGGAGTCAACTCACTGACAAACTCCATGAACCTGGAAATCGAGTACGGTCGATTTGTGGGATTCAGTATCATGGTTACTTTAAAAACCACAACTGCGGTGTGGTTAAAAGGTCACACATACTACTGAAAAAAGCGCAACTCAAGTTTTGCCAAGTGATCAATTTATTACGTGCAGTTTCCCCTTAAAGGTTGTTTATCTTCTGACCACTCTACCAGAGAGACTGCAGACGAGCGTGCGTTGCACACTAAAAGCACGTAATTGCTGCTGCGTAATAAGTGCAACTGCACAACCCCCATTCCCTACAGACCACACAAGACAACCGAACAATCCAACCTCGTTAAACCACGGAAGGTGCCAAACAAATCAAGTGTCTTCGAAAAAGTGTGTCATTTACAGCGCCCACGTTAGACAGTCACTACGGTAAAGTTTGGGACAAATTTATGGAAATGCATTTGATAAACCGCAGTTTTGCGTGGTTGTAGACGTCTGCTTCTTGAGAGTGTTTAACTAAAGCCCTCTTGTTTGGCTGATTGCTTGTATGCAATCGTCATCAAGTAGATAAATTGGTTTAAGGTGAATTTAGCAGTTTCATTATCTTTAATTCGTATTCCGAAATTTGATAATTATGCGAAATGACGATCAGGCGAACTGTCTAGTCTTTCTAACTTTTACTTTGAAAGCATAAAAATCTTTTAGGCAACAGAAGATTGCTCTTTGACTGAAGTCTAGGAATCAAGTAAATTGTCTTCCACTGATACAGCGTTGGATTCCATGTCCCCTTGATTGGTGAATGTGCTAGAACAATACATGAGCTTAATTAAATACACATCTTCTGTTTTTCACCTTCTAAGTGCGATGAATGAAATGACCTATAGAGATGATTCGTGAAATGTTTTAATGAACCTTGGAGTGCAATGAGATTCGGTCTGCTGCGTAGAATCACCACCAGATTGACTCTGGATATCCGCAATTTATAAACTGCGTGAGTACAGTAAGGCATTATTCGCAGCTGGCATTGACAGGTTACACACACTCTTGTTTCAAAGGCGTATTTTCTAGCCTTCCAATCTGTGTTAGAATTAGCAGTTACAGTTCATGCTGCTTTGGTCCAAAGTCTTCGTTAGGATGTCGTGCGAAATGCTCTCCAAAATTCCCGGACTTGGTTCCATCGCCTGCTTATTTTTTTTCCAGTCACCTTTCAAAATTTTGGTGACGACATTGAATGACTGTTTTCGAGACAAAAACTGGAGATATTTACTGGAGAGACATCAAAATTGATTTTTCACGTATGTTATTTGTAAATATAATGCACCTGAGATGACTCACTCTTTGATCCGATTTAATAAAAGGTTTCTCGCCGCTGGTCAGAAATTTTGTGATAACTTGAAACTTCGCCACCTTTGTTTTAAACGTCAGCATCCACCCAGCCGGAGAATGTTGTGAATGGCATTGATTCACACTGATTAATTCGATCACTGCAGCCTCCGACACAGGGTCGCTCTTTTCGCCGCGCGGATCTTCGACTCCCACCTCATTCGCACGAACATTTATCCTTGATTTTCCTCACACCTAGGTCTCGACGTTGGCGCATCTATGACTCGTACATCTGAGATATAAATACACACGCGCAAACGCCACACACGACACCAAATTTGGTTGAACTCTGAAGCAAACGGTTGCGTACACGGGTAGCAAGGAAGCGTAATTGGGCCAGATCCAACTTGTGGCCCTGGCGTGGTTCGAAACCACGCGCTGAAGCCCACAACACCAGACTAATGACCCAGGGAGAAAACCACAATCAATTCATTCGGCAAACATGCTCTCTTACTTTTTTTGTTTGCCAATGTGTTGGTTTTTCCAGAAGTAGACCTAAGGTGCAATCCCTTCTCTTTACCACTGCACAGCTAACTTCCAACAAACCTTACACTTGCAGCATCCGCGAGTTCATCAAAATTAGACATTTCCATTTTCATGATGGCATTGTGGCGAGCAGCAGTTAGCAATCGTGGGCGAACACGATTCAATCGATTTCCGTGAATGCACTTCACGTAACTCTGTTCGTTCACGAATCGATTTTTAGCACTGCTATATAAACTGAGGTGTTACAGTAAACACCACGCACACCACCATTGCTGCATTAATAAATTAGTTGAGATACGCGTTGGCGTGACAATGGATGTGTCGGCTCCTGAGTCGATCTAGAATCGCATACCAATTGAGTTGTCATATAAGAAAATGCGGCTGTTTAAGAGCCCATTAGCATCCGATGCCACTGCTCCCTGGCATTCTCGTTTCCCACCTGTTGGCGAGTCTGAATCAGGGTACCTACACGGGGCCTACACTGTCGAGCCGCACCCCCGAAGGTTTCGTGATGCCAACACAAACATTTGTGCGGGTAGCATGAAGAGGACCTGCGACGGGAATGTGAGCAGTTCCGTATAAATTCGTTGTTGCATTTTCTCCCTCGTGAAACGTTAATTCTCAAGGCGTCGATTGCTGGTTCGATCCCGTCTAGGTGGCTCTCCCAGGAGACGAGGGTCTTGCTCGCGCTGACTGACAAAAAGGCATTCGATTGTCTTTGGTGCCTTGGGCCACATTCCGATTGCGAAATCTACGGCCTACTTTTGGAAGAAAAAATTAGCAAAGTCCTTTACCAAGGAGGAGATCTGTGGCGAGCAGCAAGCGAACACAGGAATCATGAGCGGTCGCACTTAACAAGTGTGAGCGAACATGATTCAATTGGTTTATTTGAATGCACTTCACGTAACTGTGTTCGTTCAGGAATCGGTGTTTAGCCAATCCCATATACACTGAATTGCTATGTTGCACACACACACACACACCATTACTGCATCAATAAATAAGTTGGGCTACGCGCCATCTGTATTCCCACTCTTCCTTCGGTCGGGCCGGGTCTGTGTAGATCGCTAGCTCCGGCGTGGTTCAAGACATGTCGGGGCCCTTAACAGCTATGGTGTGGCTGTGGTGTAGGTTTCGGCCCCATGGTATAGTGAGGAAGAGAATGAGACAAAATGATCTTCTTTAATAAAGGATGAAACTCACAACACTGGTCTGAGCCTGGTCAGTCCGTATAGGGAAAACAGGGGGTTTATATATCCTGGTTCTGTTCTTCCTGTTCTCCCATTGGTCCGC